GAGGGTCTAGAGCGAGACAGCGAGGGCCACACAAGATGCGAGACAGTGACGTGAGGATGCCAGGGACGCCGAGACGTGCGCAGAGAGCGACCGACAGAGGCGCGGGAGCCAGCGGGCCGTGACGTGCCGGAGAGCACAGAGGCTCACAGGACCGAGAGAGGGGGCAGTAAAGAAAGAGATGGGACAGCTAGCAAGGCGAGCGGCCTGGGAAGGGGAGAATGGGAGGAGGAGAGGCAGAGGCCGCGAAACTCGGCCGGGAAAGGGGTAGCGGTGCGCAGCCTCCGGGCCACGATGCAGGGCGGCCCGCCAGGCAGAAGTGCAGCGGCGCCTGGGTGCAATTCGCAGAGCAGTGGCCGCACCTGTGCACTCCAGCCTCAGTTTACCAGGCACGGCCTCATTTCTTCTGAACTGCCCTGAGAGGCAAATGTTCTCCAGCCAGAATTGGCTTAAATTGCCAAGTGATATGTGAACACATCCACACAACCCTGGATGCTGTGGGGTGTTCGCCTAGTTAGAGGAAGAGATGGATGCTAGTATAAGGAAAGGCTGCAGCTTTGCCTTCTCCCAGTTCTGGAGCATTAGAGAAAACCAGTACTGGATGGAGCTGAGTGAGGGGCCACAGGGTGCCCTGGGATTCTGGGGATGAACTCTGGTGTGACCTTCCTCCTCTCTGAGCCTTAAAGTCCCCAAAGTAATTGAGGAAGGCCAGAGACTTTGCTAGCTCCTTCTTTTCATCACTGAGGAAGTCCAAGTCCAAGTCGTTGGGTGAAGAATCTCAAAGCTCAACTCTCCACTGAGTTTATCTCTTTGACCCTGCCACTCAAGGCAAGCCACTGCCCCATTCTAGACCTCAGCCTCCTGATTTGTCCTGAGAAGATGCTGACACTTGGCTCCAGGGAAGCTGTGAGGACTTAATGGGGGTCCTGTCCCCGTGGGCCCCACAGGCTCTGTCAGGGAGAGGTGTAATAGTTTGTCCAAGCAAGGAGGGTGGGGTATCAGTGGCGGTGGATAGGGCACCCCTACCCTGGGGAGACTGGGGAGAGTGCCTGCTCCTCTCCTCTTGCCCCTTGGAGTCCTTCATTGGGAGTTCTGGGCTACTCCTTCCCATGTGAGCTCTGCATGGGGCCTTGATTGTCACCTCTGGGAAACAGGGCTAACATACCCATGACCCTGCCCTGCCTCAAGATGATGCAGCTTCCCCAGCTGCTTGTGGTGAGACCGTGGCACCTGCCCCAGACCCCGTGTAGACTAGGAGATAGCCAAGACTTTGTCCATAGGGACAAAGAGAATGTCTTACCAGAGGCTCTTAGAGCCTCTCTCCCTAGCTGTTGAGTGACTTCAGGCATGGTTGCCCCTTCCTGAGCCTCCTAGCCACCATCAGGGCTGAAAGGTGGCCTCTAGGTGCTCCATCTGTGGGTGATCTTGTGAGTCATATGGCTCCTCAGAAGGGGACAGAGTGGGACCCACTAAGAGTGGTGGTGTCCCACACAAGGCAGGCCTCTCTCCCAGTGAGCTAAGGAGAGGCAGGAGATGGTCTGTGCCACCTGGTTGGCCCAGCAGCCACCAGCCAAAGAGAGAAAAGCCAGTGTCTCCTGGAGCCCTGAGCTGTCCAGCTGGGACCCCTCCCCACTTATAGGCAAAGAGAACCCCTCCCTAGATGGAATTTTGGGTGTCACCCAATCCAACCACCTACTTCCTCAGATGGTGAATCTGAGGCCCAGCAAGAGAAAATTAAGTGGCCCAGGGACCACAGTAAGTGGCCCGGGGACCACAGTAAGCAGGGTTTGTTCTCTAATGGGGCCCATTTTCTCTCACCTCCCTTCACCAAGTAGGGCCCACCGGCCTCCTCCCCCCCACCCCACTCCTCCTCCTCTTCACAAGAACCCAGCCTAGGGGCAGTCTGTGAGGGTTAGACCCAGCCACCCCCACTCCATCCCTTCAGCTCCTATTTGGGTCCCTGACTGAAGCCACTTGACTTCGAACCATCCCTACTCTAGGCAATTGCCTCCCTGAGAGTCTCAGGTTCTCCAGATGGGAGCTCAGGACCTAGATCAAAGGACTTGAGGATCACGCTCAAGGG